AAAAGCGACTCTGTTTTTACTATGTAGTGATGAAACAGTTCACATTAGCGGTTTAGAACGCGATATATATTAGTTATTAACTTATTTTAACTACGGCCCGGATGCTTCGGATGCTTTATAGAAGCCGTGGTCTGGGAGTCTGGATTTTAAATGGGTGGTAGGAATATAGAAATTCACCATGGTGAGAGAGCCGTAAAGGTGAAGCATTTCGGTCGTAATCGTAAATCGTAATTCGGTTTCAGTCTGTGGATTTCCGAATCTCCAAAGCCAACATAAGTTGACAGCGCACCTTGTTCAGATGTTATAGGCTAGGGTATATCACCCCAATGAACGCCATGCTCGTCTGTCCACCTCTATCATTAAAAATATACATATTAAAAATAGCTATCTTAAATTAAGTCTAATTAATTAACGGGTTATCTATTCCAGTTCCAGTTAAAGGACACCTAGGGAAATTATGAAGAAACTTTTGAAAAATTACTCGTCTCCGTCGGAATATTCTGTTGGGACTCGACTTCGTGAAATATTTTATAAAACTCAAAGTGAGCTATTATAACTAACATTATAAAGCTGAACAGTTTGTTTGTTTGAACGCGCTAATCTCGGGAATCACTGTTTCGAATTTAATTATTATTTTTTGTGTCGGTCGGATTATTTATCGAGGCGTTAGGCTATAAAACATCAGATTGCGACTAATAAGAGTGAAGAAACGAAAGGGAAAAACGGAAAAAAAATTTATCCCTCTCGGAGGGTTGCAGTTGCGAGCGCTGTAAAAACATTTCAGGTAACCAAGAAATATGTATGAAATCATGATTCTTGTTTAAATGAAGTCTTCCTTACGCGCAAAAACCATACGACGGGATGCGGACGACATCGCGGGTAACAGTTATAATTTATAAATCTGAGAAGGATGTTTGTAAAAATAATATAATGCCCAAATTATCTATTCCATGCGGAAGAAGTCAAAGGCACAGCTAGTGCTTAATAAATACAATGGACGTTCCAACACACACAATATTTTTACAACAATTATTCACTGTTAAATATAGTATCTACAATTTAAACAGCATTAAAATTGATAGCGTTCCCCTTGTCTGCATTATCGCTCACATAATTTACGGCTGGAAAAAAGATTTATTTTTCCAGATTGTGAATCATCGGGGATCTATCTATACAATATTGTAAAGCTGAAGAGTTCGTTTGTACGCGCTAAAACGAAAAATGTATATATAATTAATTATATAATAAATTTATATAAAAATAAATAACAACTATTATTTATATTTGTTATTTATTTTAATATCTTATTTCTTATTTAATTAAATATTGTAGCACCTGCGTCTTTTCAGCTAGTTTCTCCCCACCTTCACCCCCAGTGACCACAGCTGCTACAAAACATTCGAAACATCGGGCTATAGTTAAGTTAAATTAATATATTTTTGTATGTCGTTATGAGTATTTTATTTAATTGTGTACTACCCGCCTTAACGTCCTTGCATACTGTATAGTTTTTAATTAAGCGTTAAGTTTCTTTCTACTCGGGTTGCCTGTAAGAGATCGCTTATAGCAATAAGGCCGCCCGGTACACTCTACAGTTTCTAATTGCAATTGCATAATTAAATACAAATACATAAAAAAACTATTAATATTTACTTAGTCTTTCACACAGTCTATGGAAAATTCTCAGCGTTACGTCGTTTCCCTCGAGTCATTGAATTTAATGGCATTCAAAAATTTTCATTACAAAATCATGAGCGTTAGTTGAATGCGTTGAGCTTTTGTTTTTTCCAAATAGTCGATTTATTACGACTGCTAAAGACAAACAATGAGATTGAAATAGCACTGAGTCTACAAGTGCGAGTTAGGCTTGCGCGTTGGGTTCCGTACTGTTCTCAAGGTAGAGGTAGATTAATTGACACCTATTTATAATCTATCTATCTATCTATACTAATATATAAAGCTAAAGAGTTCGTTTGTTTAAACGCGCTTATCTCAGGAATTACTGGTCGAATTGAAACACATCGCCCTATAACTAACACAATCTAAGATACAGCGAGAAATGTGAAAAAAAAATTGGAAAATTATTCATCGTTATAGGTTTCCGAAGGTACGCTGCAAAAAATCAGTTCAAGATACACAAGAAATATGTATTAAAGAATTATTTCTCTTTAAGTAATCTAAAAAAAGCCTGCGGCGCTATATTACTATCTTTTAAGATTAACTTTGAACGCTCTAATTCAGAAACTACTGGTTTGAATTGAAAAATATTTTTGTTTTGATTGGGTCATTTACCGAGAAAGGCTTTAGGTGATAGAAACTCAAAAAATATGTACGACAATATTATTCTTCTTTAAATAATCTAAAAAAATGTCCGCGTCGGTGTATATCTATATTTTAAGATTAACTCGCAAAGCCTGTTTATATGGTAAATTTTAGTCAAAATACAAAAGAGCCTTTGCCAGGTCAGCTAACCGGGCAATACATTTGGTGTATGCGTTTGTTATATGGGAGCCACTACATAGATATTAAATTTGTTGGTTTCAGTATTCGTTGTTTGGCGCTAACATCTAATCGTTAAGTTTCTTTCTACTGGGTTGTGGAAGAGATCGCTTATAGGATAAGGCGGGTAACTCTAAGTATAAATTGAAGTACTTGTGGTGTATCAAAGTGTAAAATAAATAAATAAATAAATCTATACACAATTCGTGAACATTGATGTAATTGTTGGGAAGAATCTTTAGTTGTCCCCTTTTATCATTTAGATACGGAACCCTAAAAACAGATAATCCATTAGGCGTTTTGAATGATTTTAAGAAATGTTTAACAGCGTAATAATCGTAACTCGTAATATCCTGCTTATTATGAATGTTGATATAATTTCAATTCAATCAATCGGTCTAATACAGTTGTCTGTGGTGTGTACGATGTACATCTTTCATATTTGCTAGAAAATTTTGTTGCTAGAACAATTATCTAGCAACAAACGAAAAAAAAAAAAAAAAAAAAAAAAAAAAAAAAAAAAAAAAAAATTTTTTAAAAAAAAAATAAATTTTTTCGGCTTTTCGGCGGGGGGTGTTTTGCGGCGGCGGGGGGGGGGGGGAGGGGGAAAAAAAAAATTTTTATAAAATTTTTTTAAATAAATTGTTTTTTTTACAATAATAGAGTTTTTTTTAAATGTGTACTACTCGCGTAAATATAGAAGAAAAGACGACAGTTTATTAAAGTCTTATCTAATTTTTATTACGGTTATGTTCGGGGGAGCAGCTAAGCTAAGAACGATTTCAATGTTTTGTCGTGTTAGAAAGTACCTATGTTAAATAAAAAAAAAAAACAAAATCTTCGAACGTCTTTATTAATATTAGTCGATATACAAGTAAACTTTCATTATTGATCTTCATAGACACAACTTTTTAATGTCATTTTTATTTGCGTAATATCTCAATATAAAATTTTTTCAAAGCCGTTGTAAACTGTCTTCTTGTGGCCTGAAATGGACAAAATCCTACACCATACTATGTTTAAGCAAGTCTAGCCACTTGTATATCTTTTTTTTTATTTAAAAGGTCTACAAAACTAAGCTTTAATTGACAGACATGGTTTAAATAACATCTACAAAGAAAATCTTAAGAATTAAGTTTATAAATATGCAAACACGATATACTTATCTGCATTGTAATGTAAAAATTGCAATTGTGTTTACTTTGTATGAATTACCATTTAATTGAATCAAATTATTAATAATTATTATATATATGATAATTAGATTACCATCAAATTCAACTTTTCATTTAAATAAACATCTTTTCTTTAGGAATACTTCATTTCGATTTTTCAGCGTCGAGTTCATGAAAGACCGGCGTAACATATTTCACAATTCAATAACAATGGAGCTGACTAGTTTGTTAGTTTATTGGCATCAAGAAAACAAACGATTAGAAATACCTCGTTCTATCTATAGCTAGGGTCAAGCGGAGTCGTGGCCAGCCATCCGCGTTCCGTATAGTCTGAATTATTTTCTATACCTAAAGTCTTGATGTAAAGGTCTTTATAAGGTGTTTGAGAATTTAATTTAGAACAAGTTTTATTTCAGGTGGCAGAAAACGATACTTGTTGTGTACTAACTTGTAATAGAGATTTAAACTTGAAAATTCATAAACTGAAAGCGGAACAGGAAGATTTTAGATTAGCCGACCACGGCTTTTTAATAGACCTGCCACCCGTGGAATGTCAAGCAACTAAATAAATAACAAATATGTACTTAGATTGTTCTTTTAATATGAAAATTTTTATACTTTGATAATATGTGAGAGACTTGAATCGGCATCGAAAATCAATTGAGCTTACGTGTCAAAGATAGAGAGAGAGCTTGGTTAGAGCAACACTGCCTGTGTCCTATATGTTTTTAAAATCTAAAAATCAATTTTTAAATAATGTCAACATGTATTTATTTATGTTATCTATTCGGTAAGTGATACGTGGCGTGGATTTTAAATAACATTCAACCATAGTATAGCGTTTCTAAAAACGTTTCATCGGAACTCAAAAAACCCAAGCTATCCGAATGTGGAAGCCGCGAATCATCACTCAACACCAGCCGTGTATTTGCAATTTTCGATTGTGGTTTTACATTCTCGACGGCAAAAATTGTTTATATCAAGCGTGGTTAACATTGTGGAGTCAATAAAAAAAGCTCTGGTCAACATCAGCCGTCAATATTAACGATTCGATTAATTGACGCATTGTTAGGGGCTCTGTGGAACCGATTTAAAAGCGTCCCGAGTGATAGACCAGAAGTTTTACGCGTTTTTAACGGCCGGAGTAAACACAGCGTAAGTTCATTGGGTATTCATGTTAATTCTTGCAGTGATCTGACGCCGGTAGATGCGCACGCACTTCGCAGAACGCGGACCGTCTTGCGCGACGCGTGTTAACTTTAAACGGACCGTTAAAAGTCAAACGGAATTAGACTGTGTTTTGTTTTATATGACTGTTTTAACAGCATGAATTTGAAATTTACCAACGAGGTAAGGGGCTCAACTTTGCTTCGTAAACCGCCTGTCTCTTCTGTAAAGGTAATTTAATACGCTCTCTAGCTAACAATTTTATTGATAGAAGATTAATATTTCCGGATGCTTACACTCGAGTAACGAAGCATAATTTTCAATTTACTTACTATTTTCTTCAAGTTGAAGGCTTTTAGGAAGCATTCTTAGGTTTTCGTCCCAGAGCAATATCGTAATTCATGTAAATAGCTTCTAATTTATAATAAAAATCTGAAATAACATTTACCTACAATATACTACTGAAGCCTTTTCTTATAATATAGTAAAATACACTAATAATATTAGTATATATATTATAGATTATAAATGCGAAAGTAACTCTGTCTGCTTGTCTGTCCGGCTTTAACTCCGACACTACTGAACTGATTTAAATGAAATTTGATACACAGATATTTTAGAGCCTTAGAAAGGACATACTATTACGACTTTTTAATGCCAAATAAGGGTTGATAGGGGTTGAAAAAGAGGATGAAAGTTTGTATGGAAATTCGTGGTTTTTAAAGCTAGAACAATGAAACTTTCTTCGTTGGCTTTTTGGGAATAGGAGTGGTCGTGGGAGTGGGAGTGAGAGTGGGAGTGAGTGTGGGAATGAGAGTGGGTGTTAGAGTAGGAGTGATGTGAGGTGAGAGTGTTGCGGCAAAATATAATAGCACTTGCAATATGGATTGCCTTAAATGCGCCCTTACATAAATTAACCTAAAAAGCCTAAATAATTAAAAATTCTACCCCAAGTCACTATTCCACGCGGACGAAGTCGCGGGCACAGCTAGTTATTTATATAAATCTATGAAACCATACGTATCTCTATACGTATCTACGTTATATGTATCTCTAGTAATATAAGACTCTTTTAATACGTTTATTTTTTTATAATTGAGGACAACTGAATATTAAGCATAAATTGGACTGCTACTAATGAATCGAGCATTTCTTTTGATTTTCTCCGGTTTATGAACCTGCAATGCGTTGACAATCTATAAATGAAATACTGTCTATAGTTTACGCGAGTATTACACATTTAAATAAAACACTTTAACGGTTTAAAACACGATATATATTCTCTGTCCTCAATCATAAAACAAGTAAAAACAAAACACATTCTTCTAAATGCATGCATAACACTCAATCCGCTCCGTAGGAGATAAATATTCACTGAATACGGTATAAATTTTATATTTATTATTATTTTTATTTTATTCTGAAATATGCATACGATGTACCTTCATGCCATGCATTATTCAGTGTCTGAAGAAAACTTATAACAAATATTACTTGTCTAAGGATGCAAAAAAATCTCTATATTATATGAGGCTGCTAGAGGCAGAGTGGCCTAATAGCAAAAAACATGATTTTCAATAAGGAGGAAAATAAAAATGCGCAATTAACTTAGACGAAAATGAATTTGTACTATTACACAAGTCACAAAATTGCAGTTAGGCTACTATGCCTCTAGCGGCCTCATATAGCTATTGCAATAATATATATTATATTTAATTGTACATTTTCAATATGAATCTTTTGTTTATGGGAAATAGTTTGCAACCGATAAAATGATTTCTCCATTTCTTAATAGATAAATGCGTCGCTTAGTATCGCGTTAAGTATGAGACATACTGAGCTCGAATTCCGCAGTATCGTTGAATTAATTCGGTTGAAAAGAGCACAGAAGTCTAATCAATTACGTAACTGAAATCCAGAATTGAAACGGACACAGATATGTGTTCGCCCCCATTTGCGCGGAGGGAAAATAATGGATGCAACTTAATAAGAATTATAATCCCAAACAAAGCATGATATTTAAATTAAAAGGAATATTTTAATAAAATACTAACGGTTCAAAACGCTAAATATATTATTTAAACTTATGTACTAATTATTTTATCTACGGCCCGATAATCTCCCCGTGACCACGGCTGCTGTAAAGCATCCGAAAGGTCGGGTACTTCTTGTGTAAATTACGGACAGTATTTGAAGAGTAATATTTTAAATTTTCCAGTGTGTTTTCCGCGTCAGGCCTTGTTTTATTAAGAGGGGAGTGTAGTCTCAGAGAACACCCCTCCACATTCAAGCTAGTATAGAACTTGAATTCCGACTCACGCGCAATCCTAGTAGTAGGAGACGGGTTGCAAATAGATAGAGGCTACAGACATATTATCTATATTGTATATCTTTATATTATTTAAGTTTTATTTAAATAAAAGTTGTTGATCTTATATACAAGTACGTAATCTTTTATTTAAAACATTACCTTATTTTTCGGTTAAATTCGGTTACCTGGGTTTGTCTGCATACGTTGTATATACTTGTGTATATTTATATAAACAGTGATGTTACTTGTTAAAAAAAGATTTGCATATTCAGCGTATGTTTACGAAATTCAATTTAGCCCGTTGATTGACAGGAGTCAATCAGTTGTAATATCCGGCGGTATGCAATTTATCTACTTATTGGTACGTATTTAAATGCGTAAATCATTTTTTAAGAAGCGTGTACGACAAGTAATAGAATGTACTTATGTATGAGTAAAACTTGGTTGTACTAAAAATACGTGGTTTTTTTATTTTTTTATATTAGTTTAATGAGAAGATTAGGATTAAAAGATAAGCCGTTCGATTCCCAGTTTCAAACAGAAACGCTTTTAATTCCAGCAATTGTTTTTTTGACATGAACCGAAAAACATATTATTATATAAAATAAACATTGTTCAATAATATAGGTCTAGTAGTTTAGTTGTAGCAGTTAAAACATCAGTGTGGTTAGAAACATAACTTTAAATGTGATAGAAATTAATTTTAATTAAATACTCTCTGTAGTTTTATATAAAACACTTTGACGGTTTAAAAACGCGATATATTTTAGTTAAACTTATTTGGAAATTATTTTAACAACGGCCCGACGTTACAGATGCTTTGCAGCAGCCGTGGTCACAGGGAGAAGGGCATATTCATTTTTGTTTTTGTAAATAACTTCATTACAATGAATAGTATCCATAAAAGTAGTAATTCTTTTAAAAGATAAAGACGATATTTCAGTAAAACTGTGTGCAAACGCTGTCAATAAATGAATCTAAATCGATATTAAACAAGCATGTGTTTGGGGGTTTGGAGGAACCCGCTCTAACAAGAAAGAATGTGAAGAGTGTAAAATGAGACTTGCAAAAAAAGTAGTGGCAGCGACTTTCTTGCTAGTTCTTTCCATTCGAACGCCCTTGATTTGAGAACTGGTAGTAAATGTAAATTTAGAGTCTTTAGTTCTCAACTGCGACGGTTATAATTGTACTATCTATATGTAAAAATAGTTTTTGACTTGATTCACTATTCATGTAGTGTTAAAAGTCTCACAGATGGAATAAATAATGTCGAGAACTGCAAAGACTACGTTTCATTTTTATTGTCCGTTCGTGGCCTACAATAGGTACTCTTTTCTCTTAACTCAACTTCTAGCATTTAAAAACTTAACATTAACTTCAGCCATTTACACTCTGTTGTCGCTTATAAGCATTCCACAATTCCAGGAGGAGAGACGGCGGACAGGCCGCTACATAGCCATTTTAGTGGGGATATGTCTGCTCCTGGTGGCCATATACCACGCTTGGGTGAGACGGATTCCAGTGGTAGCCAGCCTCGTGATACCAGCTCTGATAATGTTCGTTTACGTCGGGTGGGTTCTGTACACCGCCTCGAGGGATAAGAAACGGGTAATAAATATATTTTCATGAAATAGTTATTATTTTGATTCGCTCTGTGCGCTTGCGCAGTGGCAAAATGTTACACTTCATACAAACGCTGTTTTGTATTTTTATTTATCTAAAAAAATACTTCTTCATAATTAAATCAGTTATTTCTCATGCATGACCATACGTAGGCGATGCGCCGGTTTTTAGTGCCCCCGGGGAATTTACTACGTACTACGGAGCTTAAAGTTTAAAAAAGAGAAAACAAATTAAAAAACATAAGCTAAGCAACAGTACAGTAAAATTGAATAAAAGTGAAAAAAATCTTTTATAATTTTCTGAAACATATTAGACTTCGCGTGGATATCTGGATATTAAATGTTTGTTAGGAATATCGAGATTCTGCCCGAGTCACGAACCACCGTCAACAGACGAAAAATCTGTGGATATCCGATTATCCTAAGCTAAAATAGGTCGATAGTGCATCTTGTTATTTGGCTTAAAATTGCTTTATTACCAATATTATATTGTGTTAGAATATATAACCAACAAAAATTATACATCTATACATACATACATACATACATACATCTTAACTTAGCATTATGTAGTCATGAATTGTATAACGAATTATTCGCTTTATACAGTTTTAATAATATAAATACAACATCGGAGAAGCTTTAGGTTGGATTGTATTAGAAGGCATCTTGGTTCCAATCGTAGTTCAGCATGGTTGATAATAACCAACATTTTGTGAGTTATATTCCCACCGGGTCTAAATCACTTACCCCAATCTTGTCCGACCTCCTCTGTTAGAATAACACCACTTGTCTTAAATAAATAGTCTATACACGTCTAATAAAAAAGCTGAATAGCATGTTTGCAATTTGGAAGAAAAGTTTCTCGTTTTGTTGAAGTGATTTCACTATTTGTAGCATTTACGTTAATTTAAAGCCAGAATTGCTGCAAGCCGCGTCGTTCACTATGCGCTGAATGCAGTTTTATTTATTGTATCATTGTCATAGGTACCGACAACACATCAAACATAAACCAAAATACACCTAGCATTTTTATTTTGCACGAGTAAAACTTATTATTACTTTCATTTGAGATGTGTTGTGTAGATTCGCCTAATTTAAGACACGGTACGCTGTAGATGCCGATTCAAGTCCCGTTCGTGTTGTTCAATATTTCCATAGATTTTTAATATATGAAACGTTATTATGTAATAATAATAATAAACTAAATTCCATACTACACCTGCTAAAAAGCAGCTGAAACGCTGAAACCCTAAGTTATCTTATTTTTAATTAAAGTTTTAATTCACGTTTTAAACCGTTAATAGTGCTCAATATGACTGTATACTACTCACGTACACAATAGACAATACTTAAAAAATAATAATATAAAGAGCTCCACTTGTTTATGTAACACTCTCTATAAGCTTAACCTAGCCATGATAAATGTCAAAGTCAAGATCCACTCGAAGTGAGTAAACTATAAACGTTCGCGCTGAGTCACCAGCCGTCTGCTGTGAGGTAAACATCTGCTCTGGCCGCAAAATCGATATCTATTACCAACATTGTTTACGAAACTGAAATTTTAACCGTGGAAAAGTCAAGAGCGTGGTAGTTTTTCTGAAACACGGATGCGTCTGATGAGAATTCGAATCAGAATTAAGAAAAAATATATATCAAAATTACAGCAATTATAGATGGAAATGGATAAATCAAAGGAGTTTAATAAATCGAAAATTAGATCCGAGGGATGAACCACCGCCCGCAGACGATACATCCATCTTTAGTCCCCCCCGTGACCACGGCTGCTGAAAAGCATCCGAAACGTCGGGCCGAAGTTTAAAATCATTTTCAAATAAGTTTAACTAATTTATCGCGTTTGAAACCGTTAAAGTGATTTATTTAATATTTACTTGCTGTAAGTGCCAAACTTGCATTAGTCCTATCGTATCGTACGAGGTCTTTGAAATTATGCAGCATTTGCAAGTTCTCTACAGCTCGAAAGCTATTCCTTTCGCGTTTCAAAGGATAAACTTTGTAGAATTGTATTCTTCACGCCTCAAAGTAAAATCCGTCTCCTCTCTCATAAGTCCGACATAATTTAGGGTGAGTATTACGTAATTAAAGTCTATTATCTATACTAATATATAAAACTGAAGAGTTTGTGTGTCTAAACGCGCTAATCTCAGGAACTCGTGCATCGAATTGAAAAATATTTTTTATTTGTGTTAGTTAGAACATTTATCGATGAAGGCTGCTATCACGCTGTGACTAATAGGAGCGAGTAAGCAGCGGAATGTGAAAAAAATATCATCTTTGTGGGTTTCCGATGCGTACGCGGCTAAAACGGTTCGAAATACCCAAAAAAATATGTATGAATATATGTATATAATCTAGTCTATCTTCTAAGATTAACTTGCAAGAAAGACGGAACGCGGACGACGTCGATGGTAACAGCTATACTGCAGATGAGAAGGTTTTCAAAAACAGATTTTGATGCACAAAATAACTATTCTACACGGACGAAGTCGCTGGCACAGCTAGTGTTTTATACGATGAAAGTATTCATTAATTATAAACATCGTTACGGTATTTTTCAGGTCAGATATAAACAAAGGTATGCGCCAGCTTGTTTACATCGGAACCTTTATGTTTACAAGATTCATTAAAACTTTGAAGGTTAAGTTCAAAAAGTCAAGTATGTGATTAAAATGTTTTCATCATTTAATTATGGTGTTATTTTAAGATAGAGAGAAGATAGAGAGAAGCACAGAGAAGCATGCAGTTTACTCGATAGAAGGAGATATATATGCCAGCTATATTTTAACAAGATGCGCTATCGACTTATATTTGGCTTTGGATATAAATGCACAGACAAAAAACAAACTCTTTAAGGACTTTTGATCTGTGAATGTTGGTTCCTGAATTAAAATATTCCTACCACCCATTCAATAATTCGAAGTCTATTGAAGAAGAAATTAATAAGAAATATACTGTCTATAGCTTACGCGAGTAGTACACATTTAAATAAAACACTTTAACTGTTAAAAACGCTATATATTACTTTAACTAATATATCGCGTTTTAAACCGTTAAAGTGTTTTATTTAAATAATAAGAAATATATTGTACTTAACATGAATAAGCTGTGAAGTTTAATCTCGTTTCTGTTTCAGGATTTAAATATATCGTCACAACAGTTTGACATCGCTCTTGTTTAAATGTCATGCACATCAAACGAACCCCATGGTTGTCTATCCTTCTTTATCATGTAAAAATCTCTCTGCCAATATGTACAATGTACATTGGCCAACGTTGAACGAAAACGGCAACATCGTTTGTCAATTTCCCTAACAAATTAATTGCGTAAGTTACCCGATACACGGATACCGCAAACACTATATCAGCTTAGTGGCTGTAGGTATTCGGTTCCATTACCTAAAGGCTAAAACTCGATGGCCGTGCCAGCTTAATTTGATTGGATTGTCAGTTTCTCGCTAGCACGGCTGTAAAATTGTATAGACACGTTGAACGATATCATTTACAGTATTAATATTAACTTTTCTCTGTTGGATTAGATAGGAAAAGAGAAGTCCTGGGTTCATTTTAGGGGCAAATGCAATAAAAAGTCGATTAATATTCCGACTTCCAGACGAAGTCCGACATATTTCAGAAAAATTATAAACTGTTAGATTCGGTGGGGATCGAATCCACGACCTCGATCGATGGCTATTAGTCGTATATTGCTACCATAACAAGAACGAACCATTCAAATTTCACTCGTCTCTTTTGGATTAAATAGTTTCTTAAAAGAGAATTCCGGTTCGTTATCCGGACAAATGTAATAAGTAGTTGATTGTGTAATACATAAGTTAGATCTATTGCTTTTATCTACTAGCTATTATCATGTCCGAGATATTTTAACTGGTTTTAAACGTGATTTATTTGCTTTCGTTAATTTTTAAGAGAACAAGGTACGTAAATTATAAATACCAAAACTATTCAAATAAAACACTTTTAACAGTTTAAAACGATGAATATATAAGTTACTAGGGCCGGTGTACCCCGCGACCACGGTTGCTGTAAAGCATCCCAAATGTTGGACTGTAAAATAAATTGTTAATAAGTTTAACAATTACACACGCGTTTAAACCCGTTAAAAGTGTACTACTCGGGTAAATTATAGACAGTACGTAACATAATTTATTTTAATTAATTATTCTTTTTAACTAAATTGTAAAACTTTTAAATAACCATAGAGATTTTTTTTTGATAGACTAGGGCGGCGTTCACTTAATGGAAGGTGAAGTACCCCAGTAATGGCATATAAAAAAGATACGCTGTCGTCCTATGTATTTTGGCTATGAACAAATCCGTCCAATTAATAATAAAGGCATAACAAGAAGCGCCATTGAAATCCAATAAAGAATATTGGCTTATTTCCAACCGGTTCCGTTACGAATTAATTTAACGAAGCGAACGATACCTCGTTCCAGGTGTCCTGGACTAATAGTGTTAACTGTGACGACTGGAATTATTCATTCAGTTTGAATATTCCAGACGTCTTGAAATTAATTTCAAATGCATTTATTCGGGACCTCTATAATGCTTGAACACGAGTGATTTGTTTGTTTTTTTTTTATGTTAGAGGAGGAGAGGCGAAATACCCTAGCCTATAGAATCTAACTGAACATTCGGAGTTATGATTCAAATAAAATTACTAATAAAGTGGACGCAGACACTAACATAATAGCTTTAAATATCTCTAAAATAATAATTAAAAATACAGAATTGTATCAATGGAGCACTAATCAGTTCAATATCTGTTGCCTAGCAACGTGTTAAGAGAGTCCCTAGTTTCGAATCCTGGGGAAACAGTAAGTTATTTCGAGGGCGCAGGAAATAGATGATAATCGATCGTGAAACGGACACATAAATGTGTTCGCCCCATGCCCCACACTGGAAACGTAGTTTCACTGCGAGCACTAATACGTTTTAACTTTATTGCTCCATATCTTGTTTTGTTGTTTCTTCGCGGTAAACATTAATCAAAGATCGCTCGGAATGTGAACCTCCTTTGTTCCGAAAATAGCAGTTACATGTGATTGTAAATTTTAGAAGTTCGTCTTTGCACTAGATTAACGAAGAACAACCACGGTAATGGCGCCACCGTAGCTCAAGGGCTACGTGTTGCTTATTACATTAAATCCGAGCAATCTATACTAATACATAATCTGAGTTTGTTTGTTTGAACGCGCTAATCTCATGCACTACTGGTTCGAGTTGAAAAAATATTTTTATGTTCGTGACAATATTTATCGGGGAAGGCTTAATGCTATAAATCATCACAATGCAACCAACAGTAGAAGTAGAGAAGTAAGTATATATATATATATATATTTGAGATTAACTTAATGAAAGCGACGAGACGCGGACGAAGTCGCTGACACAGCTAGTTTTACCTTTAACCTTTTTTATTAGTGTATCGCAGGGACAAAAACGGTATAAATCGATATACTTTAAATAAACATGGACAACTAACATACCTCCGGTCCAGTTATTGTCCTGAATTATGTACACTATTATTGTGGGGTCACTTCGTAAAGGGCCCATACAAGTGGAAATATTAATAATTATTAAGAAACAAAAAGGGGGGGGGGGAGGATAAACTTAAAGTTATTCTTGTTATTTTCTAAGAAATAAAGACTTATAAGTCGTAAATATTAAACGAAGAATTTCTTTATTCCAGCTATTACTATTGGACGCTGAAGCGGCCTTACAAGCGGCTGCAGACCAAGAAGAAGTCCCTGATATACAACCAGATATATCAATTATATCAATAAAAGAGACAGATATTCACCGGTTCGAGGAGCTGTCGCCAGCTAAAGAAAATGGTGGGAAGCGATTTGTTACACCGATTATTCTAGTGAACGACAAACCCGCAGAGGATTTAGATGAGAAATGGACGCAAGTTCTAGAAACGCTATTTGATAATGACGAACGGTTGAGGAGGTATCAACGCCGGAGGAAGTTTAAACGGAGATTCTGTAGAAGTCGACGCTACGCCGCGTTCAAAAGATCTTACTCCATTGGCTGAAGTCTATAGCTTAGCTTACATTTAGCTTGAGATTTGTATCAATATGCAAGATCTAGTTGATAGCTCCGTCTGTTTAAATTAAACACATTTAACGGTTTAAAACGCGATATATTAGTAAAACTGATTTTCAACATCGGCCCGACGTTTCGTTTTAAACCAAAGTTAAAAATCATTTTCAAATAAGTTTAACAAATATATCGCGTTTTAAACCATTAAAGTGTTTTATTTAAAAGTATTTAGCTTTGTTTTAAGCGAAGAGAGGTTTCGGAGTTTGGGAATTGTTTCGGCCACTTACTTGTTCTCAAATAAAATTGACATAACACCGATGTGCGTCTGCCCATGTTCGTTGTTTATCAAGATTTACTTGTTATTAACAACGATGAAAGCTGCCGAATTTTCAAGCTGTGTCTATAAATTCGACTTATATAAAAAGGAATTGAAAGAGTTTAAATAATTGTAAAATCACTTGCTGTTCACGGCACCAGTAGTTCGATTCTCGGGAATATCATAAGTTTTCGTTTGTAGAACCATGTTTGATCTACCACTAAATTGCTGTAATTTTGCTCGGTCGACAACCTTTAAAATATCTTAGCTTGTGGTAAAACGCTAGTTTCTTTAAGCTAACTCGCAGTGTTATTATTTCAAACGTATTCACTTTGTTGGAACTAAATCGACTGATTAAGCTGTAAACACACTATGTTGTAACAGAGTTTTATTTGAACACTCCTATAAATGTTACCCACCTCCTATTAGATAAGTAAATTATTTTTGGTAGTAATGCCTATTGGTTGTTGATGTAATAAATATTGTTATACAGTTGTATTTCTTGCTTCCAATCTTTTCTTATAGATTTACATTTTTTTTAAACATATTTAACTTCGTCCGGTCTGGATATTAAATTGACGGTAGGCGGGTCATGAACCACCGTCATTACACATAACACATACGCTTCCGTTTTAAGCCAATATAGGTCAACCGTGCATTTTGTTGAGAACTTATGTGGCTCGGACATTTAACCTACCATCAAGTGACCCCTTGCTCGTCTGTCTTTCTCTATCATAAAACAAGTAAGTATTGTATAAACCAACTCTGCTTCAATCAAAACTGCTAAGATATATTTATTTGCAAAGAAGTTATGAGCTATCCTTACTTCATATTATAAATGCGAAAGTAACTCTGTCTGTTACTCTTTCACGCCAAAAGTACTGAACGGATTTAAGTGAAATTTCGTACACATATGGTCTAGACCCTGAGAAAGAACAAAGTCTACTTTTTATTGCGAAAAGGGGGTTTTAAGGGGTTAAAAGGGGGTGAAACTTTGTATGGAAATTCGTGGTTTTTGAAGCAAGAAAAGTGAAACTTTCTTGTCTGGCTTTTTGGGAATAGAAGTGGGAGCGGGAGTGGCAGTGGGTGTTAGAGTAAGAGTGATGTGAGGTGAGAGTGTTGCGGCAAAGTAGCACTTACAACATAGATTGGCTGCAATAAATGCGAAATTACATAAATTAATACACAGCCTATATAATTAAAAATTCTACCCCAAGTCACTATTCCACGCGAACGAAGTCGCGGTCACAGCTAGTCTGTTATAATATTGTTTATTTAATTTAAATGTTCCTGAGTTAAAAACATTTGTTTAAATTATTCTACCTACGTTAAGCAAATAAACGGAATCGAATTAAAAACAAGTTAACTAATATATTTCATGTTTGAAACCATTTGTGTTTACACATACAATTAAACAAAAAAATTCAGCCACTTCAATAAGTCCTAAAAAAATACTGTCTATAGTTTACACATTTAAATAAAACATTTTGACCACACGAAACGTCAGGCTGTAGTTAAAATAATTTTCAATTAAGTTTAACTAATATATTTCGCGTTTTAAACCGTTGAAAATGTTTACACTTACAACTATACAAATTTTCAGCTACTTCAATAAAACCTAATATATTTCGTTTTAACCCGTTGATAGTGTTTACACTTGTATACAAAGTTTTCAGCCTGTTCAATAAGTCCGAAGCCTTAACAGAACTCTCAATCAGCAAAATGGCTACACGGGCTTTTACGGTACATGTTTCTTGAAGGACCACTTAACACGAGGTTGATACGAGAAGGCTGTTTGTAACACACTCCACTTACAAACACACACCAAAAGCCCAGTTTACTAGAGAACTTGAACTAGCTTACATTCATAGTTGCTTTATTAGTATTAGTAGAGTTTAGTAAAAGTGTAAATAATATGTTTTCCTCGACGCAGACTGCTCCTTAAACATATTATTGGAAATTGTGTATCTATCTATCTAATATTACAAAGCGAAAGAGTTTGTTTGTTTAAACTTGGTAATCTCGTGAAATAAAGATTTAAATTGAAAAATCGAGAAAGGTTTTAAGCTATGAGACCAACGGGAGCGACGAAACAGTGGCTAATGTGAAAAAAGGGGGAAATATTTCATCCTCATCATCATACAGACACTTACCTTAGTGGTTCGACGGACTCGTTGGTTGAATGGTAGCATACGGGTCGTAGGTTCGGGTCCACAGGATGTTCCTAAAAATAAATATATTTTTTACTAAAACACACTTTTCACACGTCCTACGTCCACAGATAGATAATCCGTTTTGTTTTAATATACATAAAAAATAGGTCGATAGCGCATCTTGTTTAGATGTTCTGGTTTTCACCAATCATAAAACTTTACACAAGCCTACACGGACATAAATATAAACCGAAGTCGAATCGACGACCATTGTCAATAGTACGCTACTCTAACTTTTTTAGACATATGCTCTTCTAAAAATATTGCAGTAAAGTCAGCGACAAAATAAATTCACGTAGTTTGCATAATTTTTAAGAAATTCTCGTCACATCCACGAAAATGCAGAATCCTGATTGATGTTTGTATACTTTATGAAGTAAAAGGTATTTTATCAAAATATTTGTTTCGAGAAGTTCTCTGGAATACTGCAATGCGGAAAGGAGTTTTGCTATGATACAAATATTTTCGTTTATTACAATCTTATTGTATGCAGAAGATTCGTATATTTATTACAATGCTTATTTTACATTTTACTTCAATATACATCAGCGAAATTATTTCAAACATAAGACGAATTATGAAAGATTAAGAAAAATACATTTATAATATCCATTTGTAAGCTTAGTCAGTATTAGAGATGGGCCGAATACTCGGTACTCAGCGTACTCGGCGGGTTTTTTAATACTTGTATTCGACCGCCTCTGTAGCCAAATGGTTATACGAATTACCTAGCATACCGTTAAGCGCGAGAGGTGCTGGGCACGCATCCCAGGGAAACATAAAATTGTTTCGGTCGGGGAGGACAAAGAAGTCTGATCAACTACTTGCCTGTTAAAGAACGGATCAGTGAAACGGAAATGGTACTCGGCCGAATAAATCTGTTATTTGATATATGTTCGAGTATATGTTGCTTAAGAAAGGCTATATCTTTAGGTAGATGTAACTAAAACAGCAGTGTTAATCCAAAAGTATTTATTAGTAATTTAGGAAATCTTTGAAAATCTAAATTAATTAAATCAAAACTATGTTTATGAATAAGTAGTCGTGGACAAAATTACGAGAAGATGAGAGTGAGCCGACGTCTTGAACTGCGCGAACCTGTTTGTACTTGGCTATGCGCGCCAATTGGGAATTAGATTGACTGGATTACTTCGATTTTAGAATAAAGAATGTCTTTATTATGTCTTTGTCTTTTCAATCCTAAAAAACATATTTAAAATATTTTTTTCGATATAATTATTTTTGTGATAAATGCTTCAATTAATATAACTTAAACATACTAAATTCAAAATATTTAAGTGTATTTTAATATTAAGTAAGCACTCATAAATATTTAATTATATAACACCTATCAAGAGTGATTGAACCAAGTACTTCCCTAATCGCCATAATTAATTCAACCACGCAGCAAGTGTGGGCGCGGGAGTCTCCGGGTTTTAGGAATTTCGCGAAATTTTCACTTCGTAAAGACCGACGTGGTTCGAGACAGATATTCTGAAATATGGAGTGATTTTTCATTAGATATATTTTGCGGTGTAAAAATTTAATTTCAACGAGTGTTTCCTTTTAAATGTTACGTGGATACATCTTATGTATTAATAAGTGTTGCTAGAATATTAAATATTTTATCGTCTTTCGAAACATGTTTTTGCTATAGTAATAGAAATAACTTTTAAAATATTAACAAAACAGTCAAAAATTATCAAAGTCAACAAAATAGTCAAAGTTACTGTTAGTTAAAGATTTTGTATTTGTCATCATTAACTGAGTCAAAATCAAATTGACACTCACAACAGCTATAAATTACAAATTCACACACGACATTGGCAGAATCCGTTCAGAATGGGAAAGCCTTGATGGCTTTCCCATTCTGAACGAATTCTCGGATCAAAAAAATTAAAGGTTGAAAAAAACATTCTTCATCATCATCAAGTTTTATTTTCCAGTTTTTACCTACTTAAATTGTACACAGTGTTAATAATTTTTGGATATAGAAAGAATCATCTCACCTTAATTAATTATAACAACTAACCCTTAAAATTATTCACGCTGTTGTATTTTTGACGATTGACCGTATATTTTCCCAATTCCCAATTCCATCCCAAACACACTAGAAAAGCTAGGAAATATTCAGTGTATTTTAACATTTTTGGAACAGGGGAACCTCAAATATAAACAAAAAGAGAATTTGTGTTTCACCGAACAAGCAGATCAGTTATTTCAACGAGGAGTAACGAGAAAACTAAAAAAAATAATGTTCACTCGCTGTAAAATCTACAGAACACGACGGCGGGAATAAACAGGGATATTTGGCAATGTTTTTAAATTTTCATTTCTATTCCTAACAGTATTATTAAGTAAATTTTAATGATATTGCGTAGAATCGTGCATATCTAATCTACGCGTGTTTACAAATTGTAATATACACTTTTAAGCTGTTAAAGCAACCTATATTAGTATCTA